AAAAATTTGGAAGGCTACACCCAATGATGTGAGAGAAATTAACCTACTAGAAATGTAAGTTTCAAAAACTATTGATTAAAAGTATGATTTACTTGGTTATTTGTATATTTAATTAAAAAAAAATTATGATACTATTACAAATTAGTGGTATCTATTATGTTACACGCTATTGTGTTTTGGTATTTATATATATTTCATTTGTTTATAAATTAATAATGATTATTTTCTTTTCAAGGGTATGCATTTTGTGTAAATATATTCTTTTATGTGTCCTTTTCATGTATTAGATTTATTGTAACTAAAGTTACACAGGCCTGAACATTGAAAATGTTTGTCACATGATAAACGAATAAAATGTATATTATCAATTAAACAGGCCTGCGATGGTTTTATTGTCTTGAAAATTTTACATGTTCTACAGTAATTTTTGTACGCTGAATCCGAAAAGGACATCCATTTTTCTCCATCACGTACATATTTTTCACAAAACGTCATATGTAATTTTACATAAGTGAATCATTTTCATTGAAATCGGTATCACATTTTGTTATGCTTAAAATGTTGACAAGCAGTGGCTATAGGTTTCTCTAGACCAACTGCTACGTGAGAGTTTTATCGATCGTTCTAGGACCCATTAGAAACACACCGCTAGTATATAAACGGTTAACAAGCTGCATGACGTGTCATTTCTGGATAACATTTGTTTGCGAGTGCGCTTTGAAATGTTTTTCCTTTTTAATATTATTTATTCGGCGCTATGGCAACAAGTGGGTGCGTAAATGACCCAAACATATTCTTTTATATTTGTCGTAAATTACTGTAAATTTGATCTGAGTAAGAGTTTTTTTTTCTCTTCCCAGTTTGCAAGTAATCCTTACGTGATAGAAAAAAAAAAGAATATTATTTTCGAAATCTGCATAGCTGAAGTATGGACAATCCGTTGTTAAAACCAAAACTACTTTTATGAAGCGGGCCTGTGTTATTAATTATTCATGTTGTATTATCTATCACGTGAATAAAACTGAATTGAATTGAAAACGTCAGTGGCAAATGATAAGATAGCCTCAAGTGGGGCCGTTTTACCAGTTTCTAAATACAAAATTTATTCTAAACTTCAGTTGTTATGATTTAGATGAGGGGCATTTAATCGTCGTGCTTTATGTCAAATTGTGATCCTGAGGAATGGAATTAATTCTTCACCTTATCTTTTAGAAACTTGCACATGTCTTATAGTAAAGAATTGAAGTAGTTCTAATAACCATGGGCGAAACCACCCGTTATTAAGCTGTTTACAATGAATGTTTCTATTTTTTTCACCAGTTGTAGAGAGGAGATCAAACTTATGCCATCTTTAATCAAACACCAATACTAGATCATCTGAGACGGGTGTGACCTAGCAGTTTGCGTGATTAGACTGTAAATCCACAAATTCATGGTTTGTGGCCCCTTGCCAAAAACATTTGCTCAGCACTTTGGGGTTGTAGGTACACTATAAGTGTAATGGTCAAATTGCACTTTTCGGTCAGGTAAGAAAAAAATCTATACAGACGCTGAATACGTTATGTTATTATGATTTTGGAGCCTCACCACGTCGTTACAGTTCTTGTTGATACGTCTGGTTATGCTGTAGTTGACCACCGTGTATCTTGACATTAGTCGTGCAGCGTAGTTTGCATTGCAACAGGCTTCATGGTAAAACTGTTATGTTCAAAGCATACCCTTCCTCTCCGAATACTTCTCAAAATTAACCTAGTTCTCAGGACGATGATTTCCCAGTGCAATTTCAATAATCCGAATGCACAGAAATCTATAGGGTATATCTTTTTTATGGAATATTACAAATAACTGTTTTATTCTTCAACTGCTTGACGTATGCAACGGATATATCGTAATAGCAGCTTGTGTGCACGCGACTTGCATAGTTTTACCAGTGAGAGATATTTCTCGATTATGTTGTTCGTGGGTTCTCAATTGTTACGGTTGGGGTACGAATTGCTGCAGATATTTTTATGGGTGGTCCTGGTTCACTAAAATGATCCATATTCCTTTGTTTTTCAACTCCATTGAGTATTGTACTTAACCCTCTGTATACCCCCAAAAAAGTTGAACTCCAAGAACTTTCGAAGAAAAACTGCAAGTTTTTAAATACTTCTATAGATATTTCACTTTGAAATAAGATTCTGTTAAATTCAATTCAATATTTATGATATCAATAAGTGTCGTTAAACATAAGAAAGCTGATAGTGACTATAACAAAAGCGAAATTTTACTCTTTTTCTAGCAAATTCTAGACTTTCTTATCCTAAATAAAACTAAACATCAATTAAAAATTCACTTTCTATAAACATATATTATTTTAAACTATATTTAAACCGAAAGAAAATGTTATATTAAGAAATATATGC